TGAAAACAAAACAATTGTTGTAAAGCAGCTCTCCTAGCACCCTCCAAATCTGTTGGATTAAAACAGACATTATTGGCAGGTCATGGATTTGAAGCAGTTCAAACAGTCTGGCTTTGAGATTTACAACAAACAGGAATAAAGGCCTTTCAGCTCTCTTAAATATTGCTTAAAAGCTTCCAATTCCAACCAGAGACAGCATTAGAACAATTAATCAGTGGAACTACTTGCCTCCAGAAGTTGTGAATGCTCCAACACTGGAAGTTTTTAAGAAGACGTTGGATAGCTATTTGTCTGAAGTGGTGTAGGGTTTCCTGCCTAAGCAGAAGGTTGGACTAGAAGACCTCAAAGGTCCCTTCCAACTGTTTATTCTATTCTATTTACTCTCTTATTCTATATCTGAGCTACTAATTATCTAACCACTTCCCTCTACTAATTATTACTCTATCTATTTTAAGCGACAACTTTAGTCCCAACTGGATTGCCAATATGTAATAAGAAGAGGCAACTATGAAGCAGGTGAAAAGTAATGATCACAAATATATTATTACAAATTAAATCAGATTGTTTTTGTCCGGCTCTGCTACCTTCTGAGTAACATCTCTATCCTGGTATTCAATGGTCAAATGCAACTCCGTCTTCCAAACCATGACACATGTTTTCAAGCAAAATTGATCAGAAATCCCAAGTTAAATAACCTCAAGGGAATTTGTGTAATGTCCCCTTGGATAATGGGACAAAAAAGGGAGGGATACATCATGGAGTGGCTTGGAAGATGAAAGGCCTGGCATTTGAGGCAAAGAAAATGTCTATTCTTGAGTAAATGTAATGGCAGCTCCAAGCTTTGAGCCAAGTTGAGAGATATATAGTCAGAATACTCCATAAAATTCATGTCTATAATTTTCGGCAACAACTCTGTTATTAGAATATCATATTTATTTATGAGTATGTTGTGCAGGCAATTAAGTAAACTGGATGTAATTTAAAAACAAATAGCAGGAGCACGGGACTAGATTGTATGTGAAGGTCCAGTCAAGTGTCTCATATTACCTGTACCACATGCCTGGTCTCGATAGAAGAATCAAAGAGGTAGAAAGAAGGGCAACATCGGATGGAAACAAAGCTCTAAGTACTGAGCCTTCATTTGGGGACAGGAACCATCACAATGCAAATTACCTCTTTTCTGTTTGCATTTTATTCAGTTACAAAATACCTAGGACTGTTTCCCTGATTTCAGGACCTTCAAATCTTGCAATGTGAATTGTTTTGCAATCCTAAGAAAAACCCTGGGAATTCTATCAGGGTTATTCCTCCCTACACAGAGACTGAAGGTAAGAGAGAGAGAGTAAACTGTCTCAAGAGTTTTGAGTAAAAATATGCCAGTGTGATTTTCCAAGATGCAGGTCAGTAATTTAGAGCTTATGTTCAACCACTAATTCCTGACTGTAAGAAAATTGTGGATTGCCTTTTGCAGCATTTTTGAGTAACAGGGAAGGATTTCATTCCCCATAGACGTGGGGCCAACTTGGAGAAGTTTAAAGTAAATGTAAACACATTCATGGACATCAGATGAACAACAGCTCCTTACTATAATGATTAGATGATTCCTTCAGACTCTAGAAGTAGCTTTTGGTAAGAACCGGTGGATTGCTGCGGGTTCACAGGGGTTCAGGAGAACCTCTAGCTAAGATTCTGTGCAGTTCAGAGAACCCCCAAATCCCGCTCGTGGCTGGCACTGCCCACCCCTCCCAGGAGTCCCCACGTGGCCTGTTTTGGATGCAGGTAAGTTCAGGGTGCACACAGAGGCTCCGGGAGGGTGCAAAATGGGCCTACCAGAGGTTCAGGGCCTCCACAGCCTGGGGAGGCCGTTTTCGCCCTCCCAAAGGCTTGATAAAAACCTTTGGAGCCCGGGGAGGGCAAAAAGACCCCCCCATGGTGCAGGAGGTCAACAAGGCCACACCCACCCAGCAATCGGGTAGAGAACCCCTTGCTAAAATTTTTGAAGCTCACCCCTGAACCTAAATGACCATTTTGGGAACCAGGGGACACCAGAACGGCTTCTGGTC